GTTTTCCTGAAATTCAAAGTCTACTAAATGATTGATATATCGGCCTCTCTAGCAGATATAAACATAATTCCAAAAGAATTTGAGAGATGACACTTGTGGCTTTCAATAAGAATGAAGAGTATTATTATAAACCTTTACTAGAATAATACAAAAAAAATACAACTTCCACACATTAAACATAATAAAACAACAAAAGATTATGTGAGACAAACAAACATTTATCAACACAGCAAGTTAACAAGAATTTGGCACAACTGTGTGGAAATCTTTTTCTTGAAAATCCTCTCAGACTGCTTTGGTTTGCTCTGTTTGATTTGGTCACAACATTTTACTTTTGTGCACAAATAACATGTATTATCAATGCAAGCAAAAATGTAGGTATACCCGAGCTTTAATTCAGTGAGTTTTGGCTGCGCTTCAGGATGAGACATGGGAGGAATATGGGGGAGAGACGGGGACGACAGGCAAAACCTGCATGTGCAAAAAAAAGAAAAAAAGACGTGTCAGTTTACCCGGCCTTAAAGGCAGAAAAGCGCAACAGCGCTCCCAGCTCGAAAGGCAGAAATACGGGAATGTGTTCCCAGCCTCAATGGGTTAATCCATTAATCGGATAAAAAAATAAAATAAACATCTCTAATTTCCATCCCTTTATTCAAAAACGTGGCCAACACAAAAAACATACAAATGTATACAATGCAGTATCGGCCAAATATTGGCTTTTTTTCTAAGTAAAGTGCACAAAAAGAGGTATTTTCTTTGTTTAAAAAGGACCCACGCAGTCAGAACAATACATAAATGATAAATAATAAAGAGTGGCACTGTCAGCATCAAAGCCCGCCCACCACACCCCTCTTGCGCATTAGGCACTTGCCAAATGAATGGCGCTAGTGCTGGTTAACGCATGCGCAAATGCGGTTTTGTTTCACAATTCCTTGCCCCAGAGGAGGCAAAAGTGGTGGCACATTAGTTTCAACGGCAAAGATAGCCGTGACTACGTCCGTTAATATTTACAGTCTATGGTTTGCACACACATGTTCTAGTCTCTCCTCCTCCCCCTCCGTGTGTGTGTTTGTGTGTGTACATGTGTTAAAGCCTGGGGCCACATGTGTCTAGTCTCTCAGTGATAAGAGTCTCACCGGGGCCACACACACACACGGACACACACGCACACAAAAAGTCACAGTCACAGTCACACACGCAGACCGACACACACACAGAGACAGAGAGACACACACACATGCACATTCACAGAGACGCAAACACACACACACGCACACACACACACAGTCACACATACACACAGTGTGTACATTTAAATCCGACCAGATGAGAGCCGTGGGATATTTATTTAAATGTAAAACAGGACAAACACTGGATACTAACGACCACAGTCACTGCTCCTCTGTCCTCTGCTGCAGCTTCATCTCAGGGATGACCACAGGGACAACCACAGGGATGACCACAGGGACAATAGATAGATAGAAATGTGTATAATTGATGTATTGATCATTCTATCTATCTATTTATCTAACAAACTAACATTTCTAACTAACTACCTAATATTGCATATTATTTAGCTCATACAGGTACACACTAGTCACACTAGTACATGTGACACGAGTACAGTACATGTGTGACACCAGTGCATGTGACACCAGTACAGACACTAGTACATACACCAGCACAGACACTAGTACATACACCAGTACAGACACTAGTACATACACCAGCACAGACACTAGTACATACACCAGTACAGACACTAGTACATACACCAGCACAGACACTAGTACATATACCAGCACAGACACTAGTACAGACACCAGTACAGGCGTGTGCTGAAACTCCTCTGTCGTTATCTTTCTAAGCTTTAATATCAGAGTGAACTTCAGAGCAGATCTCAGAGCTGATCCAATAATACACAACATATTCTGTTACAATGAGGACCATCTCACACCATAAACCCTACAGATGCACAGATGCACCTTATACATGATCATGGCTCCATTTACTTTAAAGTCATGTTTTAGAGTGTGATATAATAGACCTAGGTGTCCAAGTGCATCCTGGGAGCACAGAGAGGAGGAGAGAGGAGCGAGGAGGAGCAGAGGAGAGACAGGGAGTGGACCAGTGGGAACAAGGTATGTACTGTGAGAAATTAGGAAATGAGACCAGAGATGAAGGAGGGAAGAGGAGAGGAGATGATATAGAAGAGGAGAGAGGAGGGAAGAGAGGAGAAGAGAGGAGGAGAGAGGTGGGGAGAGGAGAGAGATACCACCAGGTATCTGCTGCTGTGAGAAACCAGGACCAGACCAGAAAAAAATTTAGGCTGAGACTGTAATAAACAATAATTTCGCCACTTGCAGGTGAAATCAAGCAGCTGTAAACTGCCAAAGTGGTTGTGTTCTTAAGCAAGACACTTCCCCCACATTAGAATGAGTCAGGTGATGGAATAATTGAGATGAAATGAAGAATATCTGGAGTAGGCTTTATTCCGGCCTCAGTCCTTCACACTCAGAACCTTCAATGTTTCAGATTATCCATCTCTCCTATGTTCAGTGAAGCCACTGAGAATAAGTATGATGTTAAACGACAGAAGGCGCCTCCTCACGCTCCTCTCGCTCCTCGTAATCGCGCAAGTGCGTATGAAGTGGCGGTGGTCTTTGGATCGCCCTAATCCCCTCTCGTTCCTCTTTGTACAGACTACGCTTCTGTAATCCCAGCTCAGACTGTGATATTTCCTGACATTTACATGGATCTACTTCACACACAGAGGAGAGGAGAGAGGAGAGAGGACAGAGGGGAGAGGAAAGAGGAAAGGGAGAGAGGACAGAGAATAGAGAGGGGACAGGGAGAGGAGAGAGAAGAGATAAGAGAAAAGAGAGGAGAGGGAAGAGAGGAGAGGAGAGAGAAGAGAGGAGAGAAGAGAAAGGAGAGACAGGAGAGAGAAGAAGAGGGGAGGGGAGAGAGAGGAGACAGAAAGAGGTGGAGAGAGAGAGGAGAGAAAAGAGCAGAGATGAGAGAGGACGGAGAGGACAGAGGAGAGAGAGGACAGAGGAAAGGAAAAAGGATAAAGGAGCAGAGAAGAGAGAGAGAGGAGAGAGGAGACAGAAGAAAGTGGAGCAGAGAAGAGAGAAGAGAAGAGAAAGGAGATAGAGGAAAGAGGAGAGGAGATGGGAGAGAGAGAAAGAGGAGGAGAGATGAGGAGAATGGAGAAAGGCGCAAAGGAAAGTGGGGAGATGAGCAGAGGAGAGAGGAGACAGAGGAAAGAAGAGAGAGGAGGAGAGGAGGAGAGGAGAGGAGAGTGGAGAAGAGAGGAGCAGACCCATATGGAAAATATATAAAAATGTCACAATGTCACATTTGACATGACTTTCGAAAGATGTTTGTATGATTATCTCCTGAAAGTGGCACCTTTTGCACATTTTTCATATAAAGGACGCTATTTCTTCACCAAAAAAAGTTTTTATGTTTTATGCAAATTTTATAATTTTTGTCGATATAATATCTGTATCTCATACATATGCAGAAAATGTGTGTATTTTCTATGTATCGTACCATAAAAGAGTAAGAGTTCACTTTTATATCAGGGTTGGAGGGTAGTCAGAGTTGCACCCAATTTACATAGCATCAGCACCTCACGGATCCTCCTGCAGGTGGAGAGTCTACAGTACACAGCAGAGCCTTGATCTTTCATTAGGGACTTCAGGCAAAGTGGCGTTAAGTGTCTTGCTCGTGGACACAATGACAGCAGACATCAGTGGGCTCAAACCCACAACTTTCAGACATAAAGGCCAATGCTCTACCAACTGAGCCACTGTCACGCTTGTTTCCATCTTTATACAGAGTATAGGCTTAAAATGAAAAAATGTAACTGTTGATTTTGACTTGTGTTTTCTCTCAAATGTTATAAAATGTTTTTTAAAAAAACTTTCTTCTAATTTGTTTCTACATGCTTTTCCATACGCTATTCGACATATATAATATCACTATGAACAGTCTGTTAACTGTCAAAGCATCACCTACTATTATATTCAAACCGATTTTTTACAAAATGTTTAAACATGGATTTCCAAGGACTGTATAATTTGGAGTATACAATCTTTCTATGGAATGTTTATGTTGTTTGACTGACATATGTATAATTTATCAATTTCAAGCAAGTCCTATAAAACTTGTATAAAAGGAGAGAGGGACTGGACCAGAGGGAACCAGGTATGTACTATAAAAAATTGGGAAATGAGACTATAAAGCTGGAAAGTGCCAAACTGTGGTTGTCTCTTCAGGTAAGACACTTCCCCACATTAGAATAAGTCTGGTGTGGGTGAATGGTTGGTGGTGGTATGTGAGTCCTAAACCTCTAACATATTTATTTCTTAAGCTTCAGAAGACCATTCATTCATATCTACATTCTAACCCTTGTCTATTCCAATAATCCATAAACTTGTAACATCTTGAGTTCAAACTCACACAGGTTGTAAGCAGAGTCTATGTCTTTCAAAAACTCCCATTGAAATGCAGTATTAGTGATGAACATGGATCCAACGTGCCTCCAACCATCAACACTTAAACATGATAATTGATAGCTGTGTTCCAAACACGGAATAAATTATGTAAAGAGCGGGAAGCCTTTGTTTGGTCAGAAACTCCGGTGGAACTGGGGCTGGTTTGTGCAAAAACTGAAATTAGCATAACCTTGACTAAAGGCCAGAGTAGAGGGCGGATTGGAATAAATTTATCACATTACGGAGCTTCGTACAATATTTATAACGAACCGACGCCGTCTTCATTACCTCAGATTAAACACCGACCGATCAATAATTCAGAGGCTTAATCTTCATTTGCTTCATTTGCACCGCAATTAACATGGACAGCTCTGCACCTCCAGCACCTCCTGCACAGCACCTCCTACACAGCACCTCCTGCACAGCACCTCCTGCACAGCACCTCCTGCACAGCACCTCCTACACAGCATCTCATGACAGATTTCTTGTAGACACATGTCTCATGGACACATGTCTCTGGGACACATGTCTTGTGGACACATGATTTGTGAACAGATGTCTCGTGGACAGACGTCTCGTGGGCAGATGTCTCGTGGGCAGATGTCTCGTGGGCAGATGTCTCGTGGGCAGATGTCTCGTGGACAGACGTCTCGTGGGCAGATGTCTCGTGGGCAGATGTCTCGTGGACAGACGTCTTGTGGGCAGATGTCTCGTGGGCAGATGTCTCGTGGGCAGATGTCTAATGAGCAGATCTCTTGCAGACATATCTCATGGACAGATGTCTCGAGGACAGATGTCTTCTGGACAGATGTCTAATGAAAAGATGTCTCCTCATGGACAGATGTCTCCTCGTGGAGAGATGTCTCGTGGACAGATGTCTCCTTGTGGATAGATGTCTTGTGGACAGATGTCTCCTTGTGGATAGATGTCTTGTGGACAGATATCTCAAGGACAAATGTCTTGTGGACAGATCTCTCATAGACAGATGTCTTGTGGACAGATGTCTCATAGACAGATGTCTTGTGGACAGATGTCTCAAGGACAGATGTCTTGTGGACAGATCTCTCATAGACAGATGTCTCAATGTGAACAGATGTCTCGAGGACAGATCTCTAATGAACAGATGACTCGAGGACAGATGTCTCCTGGACAGAAGTTTCCTTGTGGACAGATGTCTAATGAACAGATGTCTCGAGGACAGATGTCTCCTGGACAGAAGTCTCCTTGTGGACAGATGTCTAATGAACAGATGTCTCATGGACAGATGTCTAATGAACAGATGTCTTGTGGACAGATATCTCCTCATGGACAGATGTCTCCTTATGGACAGATGTCTCCTCATGGACAGATGTCTCCTAATGGACAGATGTCTCGTGGACAGATGTCTCCTCATGGACAGATGTCTTGTGGACAGATGTCTCGGGGACAGATGTTTTGTGAACTGAATCCAGAACCGTTGGTTTTTTGTCCAAACGGCTGCAGGCAGAATTCCATTATTTATTGTTTTTTGTGATGCTGCTTTAGCAAAGTGTTACTAATGAGAATATGGAAATGAGGAGGTAATCTGGACTCATTGGAGGTGTTTGTTCAAAGTTGGAGGTGTGTGGATTAAAGAACAAATACCATATTTAAACACCTTCTTGACAAACTGTGGCACCTAACTTTTTAGGCTTTTTTTTAAGTTTGTCCCAAAGAAGAAAACATATTATCTTTGGTGTAAAAAAGAGCCTTAGGAGTTACATGAAGACGGGGTTTCAGGGGGGTGAAAACGGAAGCGTTGAGAAACAGCCTCCAGAGTGGAACAGAAAGGATACGCTGCGCAGCGGGGGGCTGTTTCACAGCAGTGTGAAGAAAAATGTGTGATTTTTCTGTTATGACACGTACATTTGGGCATGCAAAGTAGACAAGAACAAACGTACACAACAATGGTGGCGGATCAACTAATGCTACGTGTGCTTCGAGCGTTTCATGGAGGAGAAATGCAGAATGATGTTGGTGCATTCTTTCACGTCTTTGCAGTGGCCTGAGGAGGATGTTGTTAAGATAGTGGTAATACTTTTGGGGTCCGGTGTCTCGCGTTGTAAAGTTCCACTGCCCACAACTGGCTGAGTGCAGGAACTACATTGTTTTCCATCGTCGTGTAGACGCTTAGAACTTCAAATAAGGAGCCTTGTCATTATTGCTCATTGCTTTGCAGCGCCTCCGCAGCTTCTCTGTCTAAACAGGGCATAACACTTGTATAAAAGACACTTACCTTTATTTAGATTCACATTCACAAGTAAACATTTGTGGATTGCTTGCACTGCTGTGATTAGTTAAAGGAGCAATATGTAATATTTGCATGTCAAGTCATCATTAAATGACCCGAATATTTCAAAAGGCATTAATAAATCATGTTATTTTTAAACACATCTTTAACTGATAACAGTAGTTCATCCGAGATATTTGAATATCAAAATTAGTTTTACGACCCGTAAAAGTTGTTATTGTTTTGATTTTGATGTCCTACCCTCCGCCGTTTCGCCAATCAGGAAGTGTCATGCAAGTCCGTGATCGGGTTGCCAGAACTCCGTGCGGCTCACTAATCTCAGAGGTAAAATAACATGTGGCGCAGAACTAAAAAAGGTCTTGTTTTGACTCTCAAATCATTAATGACAAAACAAAGACTAAAACGAGGATTTATATCGGGACGCCTTTGAACAATTGAGACAGCTGATAAAAGTTTACGTGTGATGCAGAATTTGCTAGTTTGAGTCCGTTCTTCACAGTGACTCTAACTGTGTGAATCGGTGATCTAGTGGTCAAAACTGTGTGCTTACGATGCAGGAACCCGGGTTCGATTCCGGGCTATGCCTTTTTGTATTTATTGCATGTGATCACATTCTATGACAGATTGCTCTAAAAACGGTAAAAGACGAAGGTCAAGACGTTTTTTTGCAGATTATAGCTTAATTGTAAAAATAATCATTTAAGACCACATGTACCCCAATTAAAATAATGTTAGTCTCTTTTTGATGTGGGACTTTTACATGTTTGTCTAAAAAATAGGGAATAAATAAAATTGAAAGGTGATATCTATTAGTATTAGATAGCAATATGGCCTACGTGCAGGACTGTACAAGGACTCTACAAGGACTCCATGTTATGACTATGATGTGACTGTCTCTTTGTGACACGTATGTCTTTCGATGTGTGACGTGACAATGACTATATAAACTGTGTACTGCCTTTATTCTGTCTGAGAGAAAGAAACAGAGGAAACCAGTGGAACTTGAGAGAAACTTAAATAAACTTCCAGAGTTTGGCACACCACGATCCGTCTCTGTCTGTTAAATCCTAACATATCCTCTTGAGCAAACCCTGATGTTGATACGCTGAAGAAATACGTTCCAACATCCATTCTTCCCACTCCTATTTTGGACATCAATTGCTTATGTATTTTGCATAAACTATGTATAATTACATTGCTTTTATTTTGTTTTTGTTTTCTATCTCAAATGTCCAAATAATAATAATAAAAAAACATGAATCAAAACATTCATTCAGCATTAGCACGGCTGTCATGGCAATGTGAATGGAGACGGACAAACAACTGATAAAATAATTCCCTGTGTTTGCTGCTGGATTTGGTGTGAATCTGGCAACCTGAGTCAGGGAGAGTGGGAGAGGACTACAAAATATTGACTGTGACTGCAGTACCACTTTTGGCCAGATTTTTACATATTGTTCCTTTAATTAGCCCAGTCTGGTCTCTCTCTGACTGTCTGAATGGGACAAGAAACTGCTGTAGCACTTCTGTGTTCTGTATGTAACATAGGTGATGTTTCAGTCTGTGTCCTGGATGTTGGTATATGTGATGTTTCAGTCTGGTGAAGGTCAGAGCGTATTTAGTTGATGCAGCTGTTACTGAGAGTCGTAACATTAGAATCGTTGCATATTAAACTGCGATGAGCATGATGCAACACGAAGCAAACGCAGAGAAAACCTGTGTCTCTGTAAAACCACACTTTCTCTTTCAAAAACAATACAACACAGCTCCTCGCCACAAACACACTGGACTTGTCTTTCCTCAACTGCTCTACTCCGAGTTCCTCTCCCTGTCTAAAATATCCTTTAAAGCTGGGGAACCAAACAGTTTTCTCATAAAGAATCCAGGTCTCTCTCTGGTCTCTTTCCGTTCACTCTCGGTTCTTTCTCTGGTCTATCTCTGGTCTCTCTCTGGTCTCTATCTTGTCTCTCTCTCTGTACTCTCCCTGTTTTCTCCCTGGTCTTTATCTTTGGTCTCTCTCTAGTCTAGTCTCTCTCTGGTCTCCCTCGCTGGTCTCTCTCCCTGGTCTCTCCTGGTCTCTCCCAGATCGACGCAATGTTTTGTTCGTAAATCTGGAGCAGAGTAGCTTTGACATCTGGTGCAGGAGATAAAACCTAATGTGAGCCATAAAAACTCCCCCAGTACCTTTTTAAACAGGGCATTATCAGCTACTGTTCTTTAATGACACCAGATACAGCCTCTGGACCATGTGACTACAGCCTCTGGACCATGTGACCACAGCCTCTGGACCATATGACTACCTCCTCTGAACCATGCCTCCACAGCCTTTGGACCATGTAAACACAGCCTCAGTACCATGTAAACACAACCTCAAAGTAACGTCATAGTGATATCAGTGAGAATAAAGGTACATACCACAGCTTCAAAACTTTAAAATCATGTGAGCAATGGCGCTTGTTTGCGGAGTACAGAGATGCCTCAAACCTGTATGAATCACTCTGAATACAACTGAAAAGGTAAACTATTAGAATTATTAAAGGCTTTGTAAATTCTTTATGGTAGTCTCAGGGACGGAGCGCTAGATTTCAATAATTGACACATATTTGGGCTGTTTCCCTCCTCATGCACCTTCACCCGATGACCTCACTCTGGCTCCAAACTCCTCTCTCTGCGTCCACTCCTCCATTAGCTCCACCTGCTGCGGCTTTTGTTCTGCTTCAAAAACAACTTTCCGGTGAATAATTTAACCGCAGAAAGAAAGACCATTGTGGTAGAATGTGAAAAATGCATGGGCCGCAATAATGCATCAGATGTTTGTTGTTTTGTGGAGTATTTTTTTTTGAGTAGTTTTGTCTGGGATCAAAGCTGGGAGCGCGCCGGTAATGAACGATGCGCTAATGCCCGATGCGCTAATGGAGGCCGCGGTGGAAACGGGACACAGGAGCTTTAGGAGGCGACAGAGATATCACATTGGTGACAGAATATATGAGAAATACAGCCCTGATTCCACCTGCTCTGCTCTGCTTTACTTTACAACTTTAGAGTAGAGTAGAGTAGAGCAGTGTAGAGAAGAGTCGGGTAGAGTAGTGCAGTGTAGAGTAGAGTAGAGTAGCATAGAGTAGAGTAGAGTGCATAGAGTAGAGTAGAGTAGAGCAGAGCAGTGTAGAGTAGAGTAGAGCAGAGCAGATCAGAGCAATGTAGAGTAGAGTAGAGTAGAGCAGAATAGAGCAGGACTGGTGGAAACAGGTATATAGACTTAGTTTTTGATTACTGAATGTCAAAGCTTCAGTCGATGTTAAATTATCAGTGAAATATAAAGACGACAGATCTGCTGTTGTCGGAGATTGATTCCAAACATTGATCCAAAACGTCTTTTGTATCAACCTCAGTGTTGGGAAGATTAACTTTATTTCAATGTTAGTATTTGAAATAACTGGAGAAGACGAGAACACGGAAAACTACAATCTATATAAATGTTTGTTGTAAGGAAATTACAACAATCAGAATGGATTCAAATGGAAAAATTATCAAAAGTAAAATTAAAATTATATTCATAAATCTCTCTTGTGGCAAAAATTAGAAAGCATCTCTGTCTCTGATCTCTCAGGTCTCTTTCTCTGGTCTCTGGCCTCTCTCGGTCTCTGGCCTCTCTCGGTCTCTGGCCTCTCTCGGTCTCTGGCCTCTCTCGGTCTCTGGCCTCTCTCGGTCTCTGGCCTCTCTCGGTCTCTGGCCTCTCTCGGTCTCTGGCCTCTCTCGGTCTCTGGCCTCTCGCTGGTCTCTGGCCTCTTGCTGGTCTCTGGCCTCTCTCGGTCTCTGGCCTCTCTCTGGTCTCTGGCCTCTTGCTGGTCTCTGGCCTCTTGCTGGTCTCTGGCCTCTCTCTGGTCTCTGGCCTCTCTCTGGTCTCCCTCTCTGGTCTCTCTCTGGTCTCTCTCTGGTGTCTCTCTGGTGTCTCTCTGGTATCTACCTGGTCTCTCCCTGCACAGTAGCAGTTGCAGTCCCAGTAGTAGTAGCAGCAGCAGTAACAGAAGCAGTAACAGCATCAGAAACAGCAGAAGTAGCAGCCTCCTGAGCTGATTAAAACCATATCTGTGCATGTGAAGGAAATAGAGCCTAAAACTGGTCTTTATTTGAAAATCTGAGGATGAGCATCAGGAAATGGAGGCAGAGGAAATATCTGAATGAAACCAGATGAGGGTCAAAGAGTCACAGCACAGGAGCCTCCAACATATGACTGTGTTTATGACAAGAGACAAAACTATCTCCGTGAGACACCAGGAAAGATACATTGGTCCAATATTAACCAAAAATCACATATGTTTATTCAAAAAAGACCACAAGCAGTAGATTCCACCAATGTGTTTTCAATAGAAACAGCTGTGATGCAGGGAAAACCTGAACTTGAACTGATGAACCACAGTCCTCTAATGTACAGAAGCACATGGTATCATTTCGCTCTCTCTCTGGTTTCTCCCTGATTTTTCTTTGCTCTCTCCGCTCTCTCTCTGCTCACTCTACTCTCTCTCTCCTCTCTCTGCTATCTCTCTGCTTTCTCTACGCTCTCTCTTTCTCTGCTCTCCCTTCTCTCTCTCTGTTGTCTATTGAAACAGCTGTGAGACGCATACTGGGCAGAATACAGAAAGAGAAAAGAGACACTTGAACTGATGAACCACAGTCCTCTATTGTCCAGAAGCAGATTGTATTATCTGTGGTTTGTGCATCAAAGTAAATAGATACGACAAAGTCAGTACCAAGAACACAGTGCATTTTGTGAAGTGATGCGTTTAGGCCCCGACATCACAGATATTTTCCATAAATCATCAGAAAAACAGCAGCAGACTCAACCAATAAAAAATCTAATTATTCTACACATGTCCTGGACTTGTCTATAGGTTTGTTTAAAGCTGAGGTACCCGACTTTTCATGAATTACACATGTAGTAGAGTACGAAGAGAGAAGATAAACCGGTAACACTTTACATTACGGGCCGGTAAGTCCATGGTACTTACAGTGGTACTTCTAGGTACTTACAGTGGTACTTCTAGGTACTTACAGTGGTACTTACGGTGGTACTTACGGTGGTACTTACGGTGGTACTTACGGTGGTACTTACGGTGGTACTTACGGTGGTACTTACGGTGGTACTTACAGGGGTACTTACGGTGGTACTTACGGTGGTACTTACGGTGGTACTTACAGTGGTACTTACAGTGGTACTTACAGTGGTACTTACAGTGGTACTTCTAGGTACTTACAGTGGTACTTCTAGGTACTTACAGTGGTACTTACGGTGGTACTTACGGTGGTACTTACGGTGGTACTTACGGTGGTACTTACGGTGGTACTTACGGTGGTACTTACGGTGGTACTTACAGGGGTACTTACGGTGGTACTTACGGTGGTACTTACGGGGGTACTTACAGTGGTACTTACAGTGGTACTTACAGTGGTATTTCTAGGTACTTCTAGGTACTTACAGTGGTACTTCTAGTGGTACTTCTAGGTACTTATTGTGGTACTTACAGTGGAACTTCTAGGTACTTACAGTGGTACTTAGAGGTACTTATTGTGGTACTTACAGTGGTACTTCTAGGTACTTATTGTGAAAATTCTAGATACAGCTGTAACTTAGTAATTCAAGGACACTACAGTATTATTCCTATGTAGTAAATGTGGTACTTCTACATACATACATACAGAGGTCATTTGTAGGATTGTTTGACTATAAAACATAAAACAACATTATGTAAAACAAACGTCTTTATTAATATGGAATAAGTAGCACAGAAAGGACAGTATAAATACATGTAATGCATATTTCAAAACAAGTTTCAAGGACAAGGGAAACACTGCAAGAACTAGGTACCCAACCCAAGTAACAAGAATTACACATTACCAGGTACTTACCAGCCAAGTACCAGGTACTTACCAGCAAGTACCAGGTACTTACCAGCAAGTACCAGGTACTTAACAGCAAGTACCAGGTACTTACCATAGGGACTGGCCCATAATAAGACAAAGGACTTTAACATAAGTACCAGTGATAACACCAGTAATTATACAGTAAGTACCAGGTACTTACCATAGGGACTGGCCCATAATAAGACAAAGGACTTTAACATAAGTACCAGTGATAACACCAGTAATTATATAGTAAGTACCAGGTACTTACCATAGGAACTGGCCCATAATAAGACAAAGGACTTACCCATAAGTACTAGTGATACCAGTAATTATATAGTATACCATGTACTTACCAGCAAGTACCAGGTACTTACCAGCAAGTACCAGGTACTTACCAGCAAGTACCAGGTACTTACCAGCAAGTACCAGGTACTTACCAGCAAGTACCAGGTACGTAACAGCAAGTACCAGGTACTTGCTGGTAAGTACATGGTATACTATATAATTACTGGTATCACTAGTACTTATGGGTAAGTCCTTTGTCTTATTATGGGCCAGTTCCTATGGTAAGTACCTGGTACTTACTATATAATTACTGGTGTTATCACTGGTACTTATGTTAAAGTCCTTTGTCTTATTATGGGCCAGTCCCTATGGTAAGTACCTGGTACTTGCTGGTAAGTACATGGTATACTATATAATTACTGGTATCACTAGTACTTATGGGTAAGTCCTTTGTCTTATTATGGGCCAGTTCCTATGGTAAGTACCTGGTACTTACTATATAATTACTGGTGTTATCACTGGTACTTATGTTAAAGTCCTTTGTCTTATTATGGGCCAGTCCCTATGGTAAGTACCTGGTACTTACTGTATAATTACTGGTGTTATCACTGGTACTTATGTTAAAGTCCTTTGTCTTATTATGGGCCAGTCCCTATGGTAAGTACCTGGTACTTGCTGTTAAGTACCTGGTACTTGCTGGTAAGTACCTGGTACTTGCTGGTAAGTACCTGGTACTTGGCTGGTAAGTACCTGGTACTTGGCTGGTAAGTACCTGGTAATGTGTAATTCTTGTTACTTGGGTTGGGTACCTAGTTCTTGCAGTGTTTCCCTTGTCCTTGAAACTTGTTTTGAAATATGCATTACATGTATTTATACTGTCCTTTCTGTGCTACTTATTCCATATTAATAAAGACGTTTGTTTTACATAATGTTGTTTTATGTTTTATAGTCAAACAATCCTACAAATGACCTCTGTATGTATGTATGTAGAAGTACCACATTTACTACATAGGAATAATACTGTAGTGTCCTTGAATTACTAAGTTACAGCTGTATCTAGAATTATCACAATAAGTACCTAGAAGTACCACTGTAAGTACCACAATAAGTACCTCTAAGTACCACTGTAAGTACCTAGAAGTTCCACTGTAAGTACCACAATAAGTACCTAGAAGTACCACTAGAAGTACCACTGTAAGTACCTAGAAGTACCTAGAAATACCACTGTAAGTACCACTGTAAGTACCACTGTAAGTACCACCGTAAGTACCACCGTAAGTACCCCTGTAAGTACCACCGTAAGTACCACCGTAAGTACCACCGTAAGTACCACCGTAAGTACCACCGTAAGTACCACCGTAAGTACCACTGTAAGTACCACTGTAAGTACCTAGAAGTACCACTGTAAGTACCTAGAAGTACCACTGTAAGTACCACTGTAAGTACCACTGTAAGTACCACTGTAAGTACCACCGTAAGTACCACCGTAAGTACCACCGTAAGTACCACCGTAAGTACCCCTGTAAGTACCACCGTAAGTACCACCGTAAGTACCACCGTAAGTACCACCGTAAGTACCACCGTAAGTACCACCGTAAGTACCACCGTAAGTACCACTGTAAGTACCTAGAAGTACCACTGTAAGTACCTAGAAGTACCACTGTAAGTACCACTGTAAGTACCACTGTAAGTACCACTGTAAGTACCACCGTAAGTACCACCGTAAGTACCACCGTAAGTACCCCTGTAAGTACCACCGTAAGTACCACCGTAAGTACCACCGTAAGTACCACCGTAAGTACCACCGTAAGTACCACCGTAAGTACCACCGTAAGTACCACTGTAAGTACCTAGAAGTACCACTGTAAGTACCTAGAAGTACCACTGTAAGTACCACTGTAAGTACCACTGTAAGTACCACCGTAAGTACCACCGTAAGTACCCCTGTAAGTACCACCGTAAGTACCACCGTAAGTACCACCGTAAGTACCACCGTAAGTACCACCGTAAGTACCACCGTAAGTACCACCGTAAGTACCAACGTAAGTACCACCGTAAGTACCACCGTAAGTACCACCGTAAGTACCACCGTAAGTACCACTGTAAGTACCTAGAAGTACCACTGTAAGTACCTAGAAGTACCACTGTAAGTACCATGGACTTACCGGCCCGTAATGTAAAGTGTTACCGATAAACCAATACATTTCAGTGCCATAGTTGCAGATTACAGCAGAACAGAAGGAGAAATAAGAGACTCAAAACCCCAAAAATATGTTTGTTATTAGTGCTGTCTTGAGTGAACATTAAAGGGTTGAAAAACTACACAAACTATCTGACTCTTTGGGCTGAGAGCTGATCGGCTGATGACGGCCCTCTCTATTTCATTCTTCTGTCTGAAAAGGCTGATCTACAGATGTGAGTGATGTGGTTGGAAACTTTGGTAGCTCAGCTTTAATAACACAATCCTCTCAAAAAGCTGTGATTTGAGAGAATTTCCATTGGAAACATAAAGATATATAGATTTCCCCAAAGACCAAATGGTGATGGAGTTGAATACAGAGTTCAAACAGCCTGACACTCACCTTGGGGCCCTCGCTGAGCTGAGCTGTCTTGTGATTGGTGGCTGGAGAGGACAGGGGCTGATGTGATTGGTCGAACTGGTAGAAGAGGCGGGCCTGGACACAGCGCAGAGCTCGTAGCATCCAGCCATGCTGCCTGCGGATCTGTCTCTGCAGCTGGTCCCACTGAGATGATACCATGTGGAGGATGTCTCGCAGAGCTGAGAGAAATGCACCAGGAAACATGAACTATAAGAGCAAAGACTGGTACCTCAATGATCGATTACAATTATGAAATCATAGTTTGTATGATGTATTAGTATAGGCTGCATTCATGTTGGACAATTGTATTTCAGACTTCAGTAGAGTAGAGAAGAGTAGGGTAGGGTAGAGTAGAGTACAGTAGGGTAGGGTAGAGAAGAGTAGAGGAGGGTAGGGTGGGGCAGAGTAGAGTAGAGTGGGGTTGGGTAGATTAGAGTACAGTACAGTAGGGTAGGGTAGAGTAGAGTAGAGTAGAGGAGGGTAGGGTGGAGCAGAGTAGAGTAGAGTTGAGTAGAGTAGGGTTGGGTAGAGTAGAGAAGAGTATAGTAGGGTAGGGTAGAGTAGAGTAGAGTAGAGGAGGGTAGGATGGGGCAGAGTAGAGTAGAGTAGAGTAGGGTTGGGTACGGTTGGGAAGAGTAGAGTAGAGCAGACTAGTGTAGAGAAGAGAAGAGTATAGGGCTGGTGGAAACAAGGCTATGGGCAATTTTGCTGGTTGTCTTCATTAAATCCTTTTGTGTCGTGTTAAAACAGTTGTGTATCTATTTTGTTTTCCTCTGTGACCTGTGGGTTGATGATAACCTCCTGGTGAATGACTAAAACTGGAGTAAACCTCCTCTGGACTCAGACCTCACTCATCGACATCCTTGTCCAGAAGCCTGAGAGCAAGGAGAGAATAGCTGCTGTAATGTCTCATGATAAGGTGTATTTCACAGATGAATGTGGCCACAGGCTTTTTTCTGCTCTCTCCCCGGTTTCTCTCTGGTATTTCTCTGGTCTTTCTCTGGTCTCTCATTTTGGTCTCTTTCTCTCTATCTGGGTTCTCTCTGACGGTCACGCTAATCCACACATTAAAAATACATGTTTCAGTCTGTGTCTGTCTCCTGCTGCTGTTTCTCACACTCCACACGACTCCACTCCGACCAAGTAACAAAAGACTCACTCTCTTGAACACAGCTCTGTGTCATGTGACTGGTGTAGCTTTAATGCAGCTCTATGGTTGTACCTGAGTGATGGGAGGAAATGCAGCTGAGCAGAAGGCGTCCCTCCTCCAGAATCTGGTCTCTGAGGGAACTGTGCAAGTCCACGTCCAGCTTAAAACTCTGCAACACAAACAGACATTCACACAAACACACACACACGACAAACTGTTTATAAAAATGTTACTATTGTTTTATTGTTGTCAGAAACATCATATCACATCTCAGCCCGCTCTGAAAGCCAGATCCTGTTAGACCTCTGAAGCTAAGCGGGGCAGGGCCTGGTTAGTTCTGTGATGGGAGATCTCTAGGAACACTAGGTGCCACAGTGGGACCAAACTGTGGTTGTGTCCTTGTTGGCCAGACACTTCCCCCACATTAGAATGAGTCTGGAGTGTGTGTAAATGGTTGGTGGTGGAGGGAGGGGCTAATGACCTAGACTGGTTGCCTCACTTCTGTCAATGTGCCCCACGGCAGCTTTGGCTCCAGTGGTAGTTTGGAGTGAAAAAATAATGCCGAAATATTGTAAAGAGACTTTGAGTGACTTTGAAAGCCAAAAAGGCCAAATTAACCTTTCTGAGTTTCTGAGATTACTTACTTTGGGGAGAAGTAATCAGTAACTATAATGTATAACCTCTTTAAATTAACATGACACTGCTCCTTCATCGGCACATTATTTAGGTGTAATTATACATTAGAGAGAATGTGTTTCTGTGTGCTTACAGCGCCCCCTGTATCTCAGAACATCATATTTCAAATATTGTAAATTTTTAGCGTCACTTTTATGCAATCAGTCCTGCCGCATCGCTCTACTCTCTGCCCCGACAAGTCACTGTAAACAATCAGCCTCCACTCAGATAAAGTTAGCGATCAACAGGTTTTTTTTTTCTTCAAGCAGAAATGGAGCCACGGGTGTTGAAACATGCATGAACCGCTCGAATCTCAGGGAGAATGACACAAGAACAAAAGCAGAGAAAGTCTACAAATACGAACACAGACGTGATACTAATACCTCAAAACTACTGTTACGCTGTGAGAGTTTGACCAGAAAGAGCCTGCGTGAGACCAGAACGAGCTAATGGAGAGTTAGAATCGTCCCTGAGGCCAAATAAATACATGTATGATAAAAGAGGCTCAATAAAACATGGAGGAGGAGGAGGTGAGTCCAGGCCTGAGGCTGCAAGCGGCTCTGAGTGACCTGCTGGACTGAGGAGAGAGACCAGACCGGAGCAGACCAGAGAGGATCAGAAAGAGATCCGCCCAGAGAGAGACCAGACCGTAGCAGGGCCAGACCTGGCCTGAGAGAGACCAGATCAGTGCAGGACCAGACCAGAGAGGCCCAGACAAGACCAGAAAGGACCAGACCAGACCAGAGAGGACCAGAAAGGACCAGACCAGACCAGAGAGGACCAGAGCATACCAGAGAGGACCAGAGCATACTAGAGAGGACCAGAGCAGACCAGAGCAGACCAGAGCAGACCAGAGAGGACCACAGCAGACCAGAGAGGACCGCACCAGAGAGATCCAGACCAGCGAGGACCAGACCAGCAAGGACCAGACCAGAGAGGACCAGACCAGAGAGGAGCCTCAGACTGAGACTCCTCCCAACACACACACACACACACACACTATACAACCTAGACCCCCCAACACACACACTGTACGCCTCAGACGTCTTCTTTAATTCAAAAAACTTAACATACAAACCAAACACCTCTTCAGAATTTGATTAAAACTTTGTAAGTTTTAATGATTCCTCTGTCAGTGTTAGCCAGGCCGCACGCAGACTGACTGACGGCAAGTCTGGAAATTGAAATCATATCTAAAGAGAAGCAATTAGAAAAGAAAATTAAGCCACGATTCAATTATGAGCAAAACTGTAATTTAGGTTTTATCAAGACGAATGAACAACACAGTGATCAGCCAATGGAAATCCTGCTATCTCCTTTTTCTGTTCAACTTCAGGACCAGGACTGGGACGAGGACCAAGACTGGGACCAGGACTGGGACCAGTAAGATCTTACAGCCCCAACTCTGCTACAGTGATTGCTGCTACTACTGCTAGTGCTACTACTAAATAGCCCAGTTCTATAAACAGATTTATACGTCACTTTCTGGTGTTACAGTCTCTGGCTCTGGTCATTCATCTTAATGGGAAATCAGGTGTGATGGATATGTATTAGTATCACAGTAACGCTAACAAAGAGGAGTGAATTAGTGGAGGGGGTGCCAGAAGCATCACTACACATAACGACCTGCCACTCTCCTCTCTAAAGAAGCCACACTCCTCAGCAAACACACAGAGTGGACAGGATCACAGCACTTTCAGTCCCAGACCTGGTCCATGGGCCTCAAGTTGATCCTCTGCTCTACACACTGTGGGCTGTGTGTGTAATGACAGTGTAATGGAACCCTCCCCCCCCCCCCTCCCCCCACCTCTGCATACCCCATTATCTTGCAGTGATTGATGCCTGGATCCTTCTCTTATCGATCTGCTGTGTCCATATTTTCCTGTGGAGCAAAGCGGTTTTGAAACACAGCGTTTGGAGGATATCGTCTGATCTGCTGCCTCTAATTCTCCTCCGTGTTTTTGATAGATGCATTTTATGTTTATTAGCCGGGACTGCGCTCCCAGAGCTTATCTGGCCCTGTAAAAATTACTCAATCACGCAGAGATTTCTGGTAATTTATGAAGTCGGCAAAGCGGTAATCATTCCGGAAAAGGCGGGAGCGGCTGGATTTGGATAATGTTGATGAATGATGCGTTTGTGGGCGTCGTAAAGAAGCGATACGGACAACATAATGCACTTCTCAAAGTGATTTTTATTGGTTATCTGTGAATGTACGAGACGCGCCGACAAGAAACAGGATGCATTTATTAGACAGAGGCAGGAAGGGGGAGGACAGAGAGAGAGGGAGGAAGGAGGAGGACAGAGGGAGGAAGAGGGAGGAAAAGGGAGGACAGAAGGAGCGAGGGGAATGACAGAGGTAGAGAGAAGAGTGGGAGGACAGGGGATGAGGGAGGAAGGGAGAGGACAGAGGCAGAGGGAGGAAGAGGGAGGACATAAAAAAAAAAAAAAAAAAAATATTTTTTTATTATTTTTTTTTTTTTCATTACTTGTGATTTTATTCTGTTTTTAATGTATTTATTGATGTCTCTGATTTGTGTGATATTATGTGGGTTGTGAGGCGCTTTGAGTGGCCTTGTGTTGGAAAGGCGCCATACAAATAAAGTTGATTGATTGATTGATTGAAGGAGTAAGGGGAAGGACAGAGGAAGAGGCAGGACGGGGGAGGACAGAGGGAGAGGGTGGAAGGGAGAGAACAGAGGCAGAGGGAGGAAGGGGAAGGACAGAAGAAAAGTAAGGACGAGGGAGGACAAACAAGGCCTCTCATGAAAGATACCTTTTTTTAGGAGTGAGAAATCGGCTTTGATCGACTCATTTCCACAAACTAACTTTTCGTCGTCTCTCACTGGATCAGACACATTCACAGAGGGAATCTGGCTGGAGAGAACATGCAAACTCCACTCAGAAAGGTCCTGTTCTGACCGGGATTTGAACCCAGGACCTTCTGGCTGAGAAGCAAGAGTGCTATCCACTGAGCCTTCATGTCGTGTTAGATTCACAGACCAGACTGAGAAACCAGAGAGAGACAAGAAAGAGACCAGAGCAGCCAGAACACGTCACTTCTGCTAATGTTTGGTACATCCATGGTGCAAGCATGAACCAATGAGAGCAGGACACTGATCTGAATGAGTAGACATCTTGGAGACCTGGGTCTTGGGAAAATAATCCTGTTGTCACTGTAGCATGTTAGCATATTGTCACTGTTAGCATATTGTCACTGTTAGCGCATTAGCATGTTGTCACTGTTAGCGTGTTAGCTGTGGGTAATAGGATTCAAAGGCCTCTCTCCCCCCTATCACTGCCCGATCGATAAACACTTTGACTGGGCTCCGTCTCTGCTCTTTACAGCCTCTCCAACACAGTCCCGCGGGAAAACCATTTACACACAACAACACACGCTTTAGTCCTGCTTCAGACCCTGAATTAGTGCTGCTTTAGACCGGATTCAGATTCAGTTAGTCCCTGTTTAGATTGTAATTTAAGCCTGGTTTAGTCGTGCTTCAATACATTCAGTTTGTTTGATAATTAATGAACAGATAAGATGCATTTTCACAGCTTCTGTCCATTTATAGTGGTTTTCCATTGTTATTGCTCTAGTACTGGTTTAGTCTCTGGTTTAGTCTCTGCCTCAGTCTTTGCGTCAGTCCCTGCCTCAGTCTCAGCTTCAGTCTTTACTTCAGTCTCTGCTTCAGTTCCTGCTTTAGTCCTCACAACTTTTAGTTGAAATTTTTGCCCAGTCCTGGTTCAGATTTGGTCCACTCCTGGTTTAGTCCTGGTCGTGGTTCAGTCCTGGTCTTGATTCCCTCAGACTGGTGGAGCCAGCTGGACTATGTGGCCTGAGGCGGACTGTGGGGAGAGGCTGAGCCAAACACAGAGAGAGGAAACACATTCTCAAGCACTCTGTCTACATAAACGTTTATGTGTGCATTTGTTGCATTTGTTACAATGACATTTTTTTATTAAGTCTACAGATAAATGTGTGTGTGCGTGTGTGTGTGTGTGGGTGTGTGTGTGTGTCAAAAACACTGTGATTTTGACACACACACACCACTGATATTCCAGACTATCTGTCTCTTTTGGACTCCTGTGTCCAAAAGAGACTGAGGAAGTGTTGAATGTTAGACAACACAGTCCACAGTCTTTCTGAACCTTACGCTCGATGGATCAGCAGAAAGCACAGTGACACTTCATCAAAACCAGATATTTAAGATAAGATAAGATAAGATAAGATTGCTTTATTTATCTCACAGAGGAGAAATTTACATGTCACATTTGGCATGGATAGAGACACTCAGATTGTGCAAAGGGAGGAAATGTGCAAATATGTTACATGCAGGATATATGTACAATAAAGTGACAATAATTATGTACAACAAAAGTGGCAAGTGTCAATTGGAAACAGTGTCAATAGTAGTGCAGGTTTTCACACAGTGATCATTTAAAGTGACTTATTGTACAGTCTGACAGCGGTGGGGATAAAGGCCCTGCGGTAGCGCTCCTTCCTACACTGAGGGTGCCTCAGTCTTCCACAAACCTCTGCCATTAAATTAATTTTCCTTGTTGGTAACCTGCTCTTCACACAGACAGACATAGACACAGTGACAGGGACCAGAGAGAGACCAGAGAGATGCCAGAGAGAGGCCAGAGAGAGAGACCAGGGAGGCCAGAGAGAGGCCAGAGAGAGACCAGAGTGAGAGAGACCAGAGAGAGACCAGAGAGAGATCAGAAAATTACCAGAGAGAGACCACAGAGTGACCAGATTTGATTGCTTTTCTTTTGATACATTGCTGATGCTATGACTCCTACTGTTACTACTGCTCTTCACTCAAACTGTACATTCGCTCCATTCTCCACGCTGCGTCTGCAAATGCCACTGTGACTATCTCTCCCCTCCTCAAACACATGCTCGCTCACTCACTGTGACTATCTCTCGCCTCCTCAAACGCATTCTCTCGCTCGCCCCGTCGGCTTCAAAGTCCAGATCGGCGATGCCTTTTCATCCCATGCCCGCAATGCCTCTTTATTTAACGAGACGAGCCAATTAGCACAGTCTAATTGAAGCTAACCGCGGCTAACGCCAGTGTCGGCGGCTGGCAGGAGCACCAAAGAGGAGAGACATGTGTAAACAACGCAGGAGCAGATAAACAAACACAGAGGGGAGGGGCGGGTTAGGTCTGACTACCGGACAAGTTTTAGGAGGAAGGAGGAACAGGTGTTGAAACAAGAACATCGCAAAGACAGCTCTGTGGTTTCTAGTCCTGTTCAGTCCTGCTTTAGTCCTGCTTTAGACCTAATTTACTGTAGAACTGCTTCAGTCCTGCTTCAGTCCTGCTTCAGTCTTGCTCTGACAGAGGGTGGTGGGGGCTTGATATCGGGGCAGAATTGCTAATATGCTTTCGTCTCTAGAAACATGTAAATATATGTAAAACAGTGTGGGCCGATCGCTGTTGCATTTGTTTGCATTTTCTATGTAAATAAACGTCTGTCTCTCCCCCTCGTCTCCCCATTTTCTACTCGCTTTCCGCTTGCCTCCCCCTGCTCTCCCCCCCTTCAGTCCTGCTCATCCCCCCATTGTCTCCTGCTCTCCCCTCATCTCCCCTTCGTCTCCTCCTGCTCTCCCCCTTCTCTCCTCCTGCTCTCCCTCTCGTCTCTCCATTATTCCCAGTTATAAAGTGAGGTAAACACAGTTACATTTGGAAAAACATAGATTCTATTCTTTATTATTCAAATGCATTCCAAGATTCACTGCTTGAGTCAGACCTATGACGTGGTGAGGGCTGCTGCTTGTTATCTAGGTTTAAGTTTGACGTTTGTTACTGGTTGATTTTTATGAAATAATAAAATAATTTCATATAATCCATGTTTTTATTAATAACGAATGCAAATCAGGGACCACAAAAAATTATTATATAGTCTGCTTCAGTCTCTGCCTCAGTCTCTGCTTCAGTCTCTGCTTCAGTCTCTGCCTCAGTCTCTGCCTCAGTCTCTGCCTCAGTCTCTGCCTCAGTCTCTGCTTCAGTCTCTGCCTCAGTCTCTGCCTCAGTCTCTGCTTCAGTCTCTGCCTCAGTCTCTGCTTCAGTCCAGTTTTAGTCACTTCTTTACCAGGTGTGTGGAGAGATAGGCCTTGAGGCTCTCTGGATCTTGTCTGGGCTGGGTCCAGTTTTCGGTGCTGTCCAGTGAATCCTGGAGCCATGAGATAAAACCGTCCAACTTCTGCACCAGCGACTAAAACAGAACAAAAGAAAATGTACAAACGTTTATTGACATCAGGGTAATCTGAGAAACTGTTTTCATCAACAGATTAAAGAGAACATGGTATAAGCTTTATACATGTTTTTACAGTGATGGCTTACTCCCTAGCCTAGCCCCACTTTACTTCTTAACATATCATTTCACACTCTTTGAGTCAACTGAGTTGTAATTTTGACATGTATTTATATGTATGTATTTTATGCTGTTTAAATGAATGTGAATGGCAAAAAAGTATTTATTGAAGGGCCTAAAGGTCGTGAGTTCAAGCCCACCACGAGACCTACTTCACAACTCCCACTGATGACTGCTGTCATTGTGTCCTTGGGCAAGACACTTAACCCCACTTTGCCTGAAGCCCCGCTGGAGGATCAGTGAGGGGCTGGTGCTATGTGTACTGGGTGCAGCTCTGACAGCCACTCCCCCGACCCAGAAAGGGATTAAGGGGAAGAAAATGGATGGATGGAGACCAAAAGTGATAATTTTCCAACTTAATTCAATCTGCTTGGTAATAAGCAAATACTTACCACAAATGTGTAGTTTGTAATAGTAATCAAAGTATAATAATTATCATTATAATGCTTTTCTTCTAGTATTTTCCATGTTGAAGGTGAGTGCAAATGACTTATTGACATATCATAAAATGTAATTGGACCTCTGTGATCTCATCAATTCTGTTGGTCTACTCTTAATTGGCAATAATAATAATAATAATAATGCATCGGTTTTATATAGCGCTTTTTTTGGACACTCAAAGATGCTTTACATGTCATTATTCATTCACTCCATACACGGTGGTGATAAACTACTATTTTAGCCACGGCTGCCCTGGGGCACACTGACAGAAGCGAGGCAACCAGTTAGTGCCACCAACCACTCACACACACTAGACTCATTCTAAGCAACAGGGGTGAAGAGTCTTGCCTAAGGACACAACAGCAGTTTGACACTTTACAGCCACAACTGCCACATTGAGGCACCTGGTGTTTCCAGAGCTTACGTGTTTTGCCAAGGACACAACAACAGCAGACATCAGAAGGACTCGTGGAGAAAGTATTTTGGTGGGTTCGAACCCACACCCTTCAGGCTCAAAGGCCAATGCTCTACCATCTGAGCCACTGTCGCCCCGGCAATTTTTTTGGTGCCACAGAAAAGAAAAAACCTTAGCCACACCTTAGTATAAGCCGCACCATTCCAACACTTTGAATGGTGCAGCTTATACTGAGGTGTGGTTTTTTGACAACTCTAAAACTGACAACTCTACCACGATACAAATACACATATCAGATGCATTGCTATATAAGCCGCAGGGACCAGAGAACTCTAACAAAATGGCAGTGTATATCAATTAATTACATTACATCAATTACATCAATTAATTACATTATATCAATAATAATAATCCTTTGTTCTTTAAATATTGTAATATAACTTTAATGCACACACAGACAAACTCACTCTTCCTTTAGAAACCAATGTTCAGATTTAATTGGTGGAATTTGAATGGTTCCATCCAATATTCATAAATCCTTTTCCCACTTGACGATCCCGCTGCAGATAAATAAAAGCATTCTTGTAACAGTGGTCGTCTCGGGTAAATACATTAAAAGAAAATTAAAAATAAAAAGCCGTGAGCAAATAGGCATGGAGGGAATGTGAATAAATGTTTAGATATGAGGACGGAAAAGGACAGTTAGAAGACACAGCTGTGACTGGGGGAACACTGCCATCTGGTGTTGGAGCAGAGAAAGCTATCTATGTTCTCTGGCAAAAACAAGGAAACAACATGAGAGTAAAGTACCGACAGTCTTTACAATGTCCTGTTATCAGCAGGACAAAACGTTACTGAGAAATAAATGTTGAGAAGCATTTTACATATTATCCTTTGAGTAAGAAAGTGCCCTCTGAGTACAAATTTTGAGTCTTTGGGCTGAGATCTGATTGGCTGAGTGAGGGTGGTCCTCTCTTTGTCACTTTTCTGTCTGAAACTTTCTGTCTGAAGATGTGACAGAGGCTAGAAATACATTAAACTATTGACAGAAGCAACTGTTTCAGAGACAGAACTAGACATGGATGTTATGAATTTTAAGTGATTGTGGCTTGAAAGTTAGGTACCTCTGCTTTAAGTTAAATTTAAAGCTGCAAGGACAAGAGAAAGATGCATCATGATGGTTAGAATGAATACAATGTAGCTGCAATTAAAGCCTGAAAGACGGATGATGTGGTCCACTGCATTTTAAATTAAAAGATGACCATTTTTGACGCCCTATAAAGTTGTGTGGTGATTCAACCCCAGCAGAAATAACCCCCCAAGCCTAGAACCCCCAGGCCTGAATCCCTCAGGTCTAAACCCCTCAGGCCTAAACCCCCCAGGCCTTACCCCCAGACCTAAACCCAGACCTGAACGCCCTCGGCCTTAACTCCCCAGACCTAAACCCTCGAGGCCCAAACCCCCCATACAATAAATTCCCCAGGTTAAAACCTTCCAGACCTAAACCCCCCTGGCCTAAACCCCCCATGCCTAAACCCCTCATGCCTGAACCCATGAGTGATTCCTCCACTGAACAGACAATAATGAGGAGGAGGAGGCTCGGCTTGAATGCAGCTGTGAAATGACGCTGTTTGTGATGAGCTCAGACCAGTGGGGGCGGGTCCCGGCTCAAAAGTGGCCAAAATGACGTCCGCTGATATGCTTGTAATACCACCCCGCCCGATAGGGGTGGACCCGGAATAAGAATTAGCCAATTTAGCATTGGCTAATTCTTATTCCATATATCATTGGCAGACCTCTCGAAAACGTCTTTACAGGATGGTCCAAAAGTTGGCTCTTGGCCCAAAGCTCCGTTCCACATGTGTGTCAATGCTGAGGGGGGTGAATTTTTTTGGACCACTCTAGTTTACTCGCTGTGAATTTTTGAAGTCACTCGTTTAAATGAATGGAGCTTGCGCCGGCTGGCGCAAGCGCAGATGCGTTTTTTCACAATTTTCTAGTGTCCGGGACCACTCGCGGCCATTTTGGATTGCTCCAGTAGAGCACATTATTTGGTCCATATGTTTGAAAGGCGGAAATAGGCGTGACTACGTTCGTTAATATTTACACTCTATGGCTCAGACGCATAGAGCAGATATAAGGAGTGTGACATCACCACAGCTAGCCTTAATGCAGAGGTCTCCAAACCATAGACTGTAAATATTAACGGACGTAGTCACGCCTATCTTCGGCGTTCAAACTTAATGGGCCAAAAATTGTGCGCTACTGGAGCAATCCAAAATGGCCGCGAGTGGTCCCACTCACAAGAAAATTGTGAAAAAACGCATCTGCGCATGCGTCAGCCGGCGCGAGCTCCATTCATTTAAACGAGTTAAACTTCAAAAATTCACAGAGACTAAACCAGAGTGGTTAAAAAAAATTCCCTCCCCTCAGCATTGACACATGTCACAACTTTTGGACCATCCAGTAAAGACGTTTTCAAGAGGTAAGAAGATGCTATACGTGGGCATTGGCTAATTCTTATTCCGGGTCCACCTCCATTGGTCCGGGGTGGTATTGCAAGCATGTCAGCGCACGTCATTTTGGCCACTTTTGAGCCGGGACCGGCCCCACTGGTCCAAACCTGCAGCCAAAGCAGCCCTTTCTGGACCGGTTTGGACACCTCTGCCTTAATGCAAAACAAGCCTGATTTGAACAGAAGCTGGAGCCAGTTTCCTTGGGAATTAGTTCTGACAGTTTTGTGTCTAACAGGTAAGGAAGCTGGAGTTTCCTTCTGAATGAAAGCCTCTGATTGGTCGATCCTAATATGGCTTATATCTGAATTTACAAAGACAACATCACAATATAAACACCACAGATTTAAGCCAAACATGGTGACACAAACTGTTACTAAGCTAGAGGAGTTTACTTTTACATGGAAGTAAATTGGAGCCAGGAGAGGAGCCAAACTTCAGCATGAGCACTTTCCTGTTGGGCTTTATTGAGGTGGCGGGTTAGCATTGTCCTTCTGTATACAGTGTAAGGGCGCAAGTGTGTACAAGAGGGGGTTGGTGTGGACACTGAGGTCTGGTCTCCCGGTCTGAGTTCTCGCTTTAGTTGCTCTATAGTCAGATTTCTATTATTTGAAAGCCAGATGTATCTCTGGCTTGTTAACTTCTTTGCTGCGTCTCTGTCTGCAGCCTCCTTGAATCGCGGCTGCACCTCATGGAGCAGCAGGTGATTAGGTTGTGGAAGTTGTTTGTTTGGAGGTGAAGCGCTGCAGGCTCTGGACCTCCACAGAGACAGCACCGCATCAGAGATCAGAGGTCTGAGGTCCCAGCACCCAGCAGAGAGGACTACAACCAGCTCCAAACAAGACATCTACATGAGGAGAGAAGGGAGGGAAGAGGGGAGGGTAGGGAGAGAAAGAAGAGAGGCGAAAGGAGAGAGAAGAGAGGAGAGAGGGGGAAGAGAGATGGATAGAAGAGAGGAGAGCGGGGAGAAGAGGCGAGAAGAGGAGAAAAGAGGAGAGAGGGGAGAAGTGAAAAGAGGAGAGGGGAGAAAAGAAAAGAGGAAATAGAGGTGAGAGAGGAGAAAAGAGAGAAGATAGGAGAAAGGAGAGAAGAGATTAGGAGAGAGAAGAGAGGAGAGGAGAGAGAAGAGGAGAGAGGACAGAGAAGAGAGGAGAGACATGGTCCTTTCCGCTACGGTGCACAGTGCGTCTCCACTTCCTCATCCTGTAAGCAGCTCGTCTATCGCCATGACGACTCTGGCTAATTAAGCAGCTAATCGCTAATTACAGGCGCACGGCGTGTCATTTACAAAAGGTGCAGATTGAGCGCGGCGCATCTTCATTCCAAACAGATGCATTCAGTGTTTTGGCGTTTACTAATGTGTTTACGGAGCCTCAGTCGGCGGCTTCAGGCTCAGAGGAGTTATGGATCACAGAACTCTTTCTATTACAACTGAGGGATTGTATATTTTATATTTTTATCTTTCTTTTTAA